TGTCCAAAAAAAGAAAAGTAGCCCCTGTGGAGTCACTTCCCCCAAGTCATGCTGCCGCTGCTGCTGAAAATATACAATGAATCCTTCTGCAGCTGGAATTTCAGATGCCATAATCCCTTACAGAACGTTGTCTAATTATTTTATTATGCATAATAAATGTAAAATATTTATTTTAGTTTACATAATTATATTAAAAATGTATACTATTTATTCTCAGTCTTGTAAGACATCCTTCACAAGTCATATACTTTATAGAAAGGAATGAATGCTGTTTTGCTGGCCTGGCTGTTTGTTTCATACAGCTTCTACACCTTATCTGTGGCTGAGGAAAACCCCTGGATATTGCCCTCCATTCCTTTGCTTCCCCTCACTGCCATGGGTACTCCATGCAAAATGAACCATGCAGTGAAATCCCAGAGAAATGAAAGTAATTTTGTTTAATTACAGCAGAGAGATGCCACAAAGCACATTAAGATTACACCTGTCCCATGGTCAAAGTTGTAGCAATACTCTTTCTGCATCACAAAACTACTCCAGTGTTCCTCCTGAGCCCTGTAATCCAACACATTTGACTATGTGAGCAAAGCAGGCAGGGTTCTGCCTTTTGCATGCTACCACCACATAATTCCATTCCACTTCATACTGAAACAACCCCCTCAGACACAACATGGACATAAATTGCCTTAGAAGTTGTGATAGTTACATAGAAAGTCAGAACCAATGGGGGTTAAATTTAAAGTTTAACATATGACTGAAATGAGACTCTCTAGACACATGTACAAAACCAGTTCCGTTTTTGAAAATGTTGAGTATCTGCGTCTTTCACTGACATCATCAGACTTAGGGGAGTTTTGCACTTCTGCAGTCAGGTTAAATTCAGGTACCTAAATATGCTGCAGCTTTAGAAAGTCTGACCACAAATTATACACCCAACAGATTTAGAAATCCATTCACAGGCGCTGTTCATTTTCAGGAGGCTCCTCAGTGCTTACTGTGCCCACTACCAAATACAAACAGTACTGTTGTCAGTATAACTCTAGGATCATGTCACCTGAAAAGTTCAGCCATGTAACACATCTTTTTTAAATGATTAAGAAATATAAAATAAGCATTGCATACGTAATGGCAGTGCAGGGCCCTGTGAGACCAATTCTCTATTATAAAATTAAGTTCAACATTAATTAAGAGTGAATGAATATTTTGGTATGACAAAGCACACTGATTTAAGAACGGAGAGACATGCTGTGTGATTTGAAAAAGTAAATGTAAAGGAAAACCGTGCATATTTTTATCTAAACAGGGAAGATCTAAATTGAAAACATAAATGTAAAAAATATACACTATTTATGACTAAACATATATTATATTTTGCTTCCTTCAAAAGGAACTAGCTTTTAACACTTAGACTGAAAATATAATTTCAAATTAGAAATGTTACTAGAAGTTGCATACTATTGTATAGAAAAACAGATGTTCATTTCTTTGTTATCAATATACACAAAACTTAGACAAAAATAAATATAAAGTGGTCACAGTACAAAAACTATAGATGGAAAGTAACATTTTTCCAAGAACATTGAAGTATAACCATAAGAATAGATTATAAAAGCAACTTGGTAAAATAAAGTGAGCAAAATCTCTCATTTTCTTTTGGGGAATATGTATACTACGGAGAGTATAGAATTTGTGAGCTAAAAATGCTAGGTTAGTTTATTATTCACTTCAGAAAACCACATCCATTCATGTCTTTTTCTAGTTAAGAAAAGAATTTCTCATGCTGTGAGTTATATAAGGAATAAATTCCCTTTTCTGTTCCATGCAGTCAAAATCCCTCTTTCCCCCATAGTATCTTAGAGTTTATTTCACTTCCGTTTATAAAATTTATACCAGTTCTTAAATTCAGATTAGTTTCTTTTAATAGCCTTTTTTCTCTACTTGTAGTCAGGGGTAGCTAGCCTTTCACTCACTAGACTGGCAAGAGTTTATGCAGGATGATTGTTCATAATTTTGGGATGAGGAATTGAAAAGCTTGAAATCAAGAATGTCCAAGAACACTCTGAACACTGATGAGCTGAACAGGAATAATTAAAATACCTTGTATTTAGACACTGTTTTAATTCAACCGTGTCAAAGTACAGAACAGAGAGTTCACCTCACCTACCAGTGAAAGGAGACTTTATGGTAGCACTAACAATACTCTCCTCTATATCCTGACACAAAAAGAGGAATATTCACCTCACTGAAACTACAAGGGTCATTAAAGAGTCTGCAGTTGCTAAGCAACACTAAACAGCAACATCTGAAATAGTCTGGATGAACTTACAGTGCAAGGGCTGAACTCAAAGCACCACAATGAGATCTCAACCACTACACACGGGGGTGAATTTTATCACTAGGTCAGCAGATTTTGAAATCTTCATTTTGATGTTTTCTCTAGGTGACACTTTCAAGAGTACATACCATCTGCTGTGCCAGTGCAAACAATATTTACAGAGCTCCTAATACCTTTTCAGTAAAAGAGATAGTACTGGGTGAGTTGACATGGCATCAACACGTGATTTCCTTAAAACTGTATTTTAAAACAAAGAGAGAGGTGGACAGAGAGCAAAACATATACTTGCCAACAAGGCTGGCTAGGCACTGCTGGGCTAATAAACACAGCAGCTCCTCTATGGGCTCCTCTGCAGCTACATAGAGAGCCTCACTGCTTCCATGAGCTTGCAGCAGCAGCAGCAGCAGAGCTCTGATTCCTGCATCCCTGCCAGATGTTTTTCAGCTGAGCTCAGAACAAATTTCCTGCAGAATCAAAGCTTCATCAGCTGGTATCTGCAGAGATCAGCTTCCAAAGATTAGGTCAAAATTGGACTGCAAGGGATGGAAACTAACATCCAATTGCCATGAAACATTTATTTTTCAATAATATAGAGGCAGGGCATGCTCAGAGATTTCTTCTTAATCCTGTGCTTGCATCGTCTCTAATAACGTCCAATATAATGAAACACTACTAAAATCCTTGTCATTTCTTGGACTTTATATCCCACACAGAAAACTGTCCATCCAAAGTAAAATGATCTCTCATCTTCACTCAACAGACCATTAAGTTATGCATTTTGTCATACTGAGTGAAGGAATTGCACCCACTCATTGCTTGTGTGTAACAAATCCCAAACTGATCCACATCTGCGACACTCCCAGTCTCTAGTGTCTTCAAGCCAAGGAGCTGAAACCCACTGTGACCCACCTCTCATTACCTAGTTCTGTAATAAGACTATTCCTGCCAATTGGGATGGTTCGTTTAAGTGGATGACCGCAAGATTAAGCCTCCTCAAACACATGGCACTAAAGATAGCACTTCTTTTACCTTCATTGCAGCACATCATGTCACACTATTGGTTATATGCTCTCACTTCACTCAACACAGACCTTTTAAGACACATGCTCTGACAAACAGAAAACCACTTCTCATTCTTAGATGACTTATTGAAGCTGACAGAAACAATTTTATTTAAAAAAAAAAAGAAAAAGAAAGCAGGGAGACCCTTAAGGTAGCAGCACAGAAACAGAGCCCCCTTTCCCTGAGGTTATCAAATTCAGTTGCCTGCAGTTCTAGGCAGTGATTTAATGGGTGCTCAATACAGAAGAGTTCACAGAACATTTGCCCCACATGCACAAAACAAAAAAAATGTTTGTGCAGAACCCACATGATCACTGCAGAAGCTTTCTGTACAAGAGTTTTCTCTAAAGTAGCTCATAAATAGCATGAAATCAGGTATAATGAGAGCAGCTAGGCTTCATTATATAGCCTTGCTTTAGGAAACTACATTAAAACTTATACTAAAGGAACATTACAGTTGTATGCTCAGCATTAGAAGAAAATAAAATATACTATAGTGGTATAATCAAATGTTTAACTTTCTCCTTTTGCATGTATGCATCACAACACATATGCCATTCATCAAATCTAATGCTGATTTTTAAAAAACTTTTTGAACATTAACTCTTGCAAATTGCCCATAAAAACCTCAATGGATTCCTTTATAGTAGCCACCTCACTGCAAGGTATTAAAAGTATTCAAGACTGTAGAAGTGTATTTAAGAGTAAAGAATCATTTAAGGAGCAATATGAGATAATTTCATAAGTATTCTGTAAAGAACTAAAGGCACAGGAGATAAGGATCAGAAGTAGTCTTAACTGTCCAATCATGTAGAGTAGATACTGAAAAAAAGTTTTTCACTGTCAGGCATTGGAATATGTTGCCCATGGAGACGGTGGAGTCTGAACCTGGAACCTAGCACTGGAAGATATGGTTGATGGTTTAGGGGTTACAGTGGAATGACAGGTTAAGGGTTGGACTTGATGATCTTAAAGATCTCTTCCAACCTTCATGATTTTATGTGATTTCTGATAATTTAATCTACTGCCTTAACAGGATGAATTTTAGCAGCACAACATGGGAGGCTTTGCCATGCAACCAACCCTGTGGCCAACTCTGATCCAAACACCCTGGCTGGCAAGGTAAACTGGAGCAGAAAAACAAGACTATGCAGAACTGTAACTAGCTCCAGTTGCCTCCTGTTCTAATAAGTGTCTGGTGAGTATTTAGGCTGCTAAACCTTTTAGAGAACTTTTCCTTTCTTGGCGAAATGGTTGCAACTCAACCGAGAAAAATTTCAAAACCGCAACTGATTTGAAAAGGCAATGCAGATAAGCAGCCTCACCACGGAGAATTCTAACAGACACTGGAGCAGCTGTGAAACAAACACTCAACATTAGCACTGTAGTGTTACCACTAAAAGGTTTCCCATCATCTGTTTTTCTTTATAAAGTAATACCTGAATACTGAAAACTAAGTTTTTAAATTTAGCTCCTAATTTAATATGCAATTACTGCTGCCCTGATGGTGTTTTAATGGCAATATATTTTTATTGGTGACTTCAAATGAACCTCATCTGATCACCTTAACCCTTCTCTCATCATGCTTTAGTTAATGACTCATTACCTGTAGTCACACCAGGGACATCTGTACGGCTTTTCTCCAGTATGGACACGCTTATGTCGTGTCAGATGCGATTGTGTCGTGGAAGCAAAGTTACACTCATCACATTTGAATGGTTTCTCTCCTAGAAGGTGACAAGAGAAACATTATCAGTTTTCATCAATTGAAAAGGAAGACCAAATTTCTGGCACGTCCCTTGAGACAGGTTTTTAGCCTGTGTATATACAGAAAACACAATTACAAAATAAATTTTGAAATAGAATGCATTAATTGCAAAATCTGACATATACACCTCAGTATCCAGCTGACTTCCTATGTGAAGTTACACAGCAGGAAAAAGGAGGAGAAAGAACTGCAGTGAAACAGAGTAACCATGTTACTGGTTACTGGGTCTTATTTCATGAAAATGTCATAATCAGGCGACAGGCATTCCTCTCAACCTACACCTTCTGTTGGGCCAAGAAGAGCCTCAAAAGCAACACCATTGGAGACCGAAGGTGAAAAATCAGGACGATGCTTGTATTCAGCACCTGCTCAGAAAGGAACATCTCTACGTAGAAAGTGGGTTTGTTTTAGTCTCTGGACCTGTTTTTTATATCTTATCCTTTAAATAAAATACATAAACCAGGACTGAGAATATGAACCAGAACTCAGTGCTCTATTCCCCATCTCTTGCCTGCTAGACTTCTGCCCTTGTGAATCTTTTCTGAACAGTAGGCCAATTTTCAGCAGAAGGATTTGAAAGGCTAATGAAAAAAACCCAAACAAAAACCCAACCACAAAACCTAGACTATGACAATCATATTTTCAGAAGACTAAAATTCAGTCTCTGCTGAATGTGCAACTGCACTGAAAATTTCTAGAGGACTACTAATTGAAGAAGGATAAAAATCTCTAGCGTCTAAGTTACTATGTGAAAAGAGTGCTTTTCCTTCCAGTGGAGGGGTCTACCCATCAGAAGACAATAAGACAAAATCTCATGACAAACAGACACACTGTGATGCCTAACTAAGACACCTGCCATTTTTCCAACTGGCTGCTCCAGAAATATTCTGTAGGGCTTATAGGCACATGTAGCTACCATTTCGGGAGGAAACAGGTTTGGTTTTGTATGCAGAAGACAAAAGGCAGCTCCTAACTTAGGTGATCTTGACTGCATTGTGCAAGCCTTCAGAAGTATTTATCCTAAAGACTGCATAAGGAATCAAATCCCTAACTTAACAAGTCTGAATAAAACTTCTGGGGACAGACAGGTACCTTGGAGACTGTTCAGAGGTCTAGAACAGGCAGTTTCAGAACTGAACCCTAAGCCTACTAGCAGGTGCAATTTGAAGTGTTTCAGCCTGGCAGAAGACACACCACCACAGAAGACTATCAGTAAAAGTGGCCTTTTGCTATCAGTAACAAAAGGCCACTCCCAACTAGCCATGGCTCCAAGGCAAATTTTTCAAGCCTATTTATAGCATGAGACACTCAAGACTTTGCCTGAATTCTGAGAAGAGAGAGAAATCTGCATTTTTCATTCCTGAAGACTGTTGAGGTTTTTTCTTCCAAAGGATAAAGACATGCAAGGTCCTGAAGGCCTGAAAAGCCCATAATGCTGGACAGAAGGACAACAGAACAGCTTCTGAAAGGTCCATAAAGAGTTGGAATAATTGCTTTTAGCAGCTGCTGGAGAGAATACCAGCCACTATTTTTCATTTATTGTTTCATGGGACAAGGAAAGGTGAAGGGGCAGGACATAAAGCCGAAGCCTCTATGCTGGACAAATTGAGACTGCTAGCAAGTATGTCTTTCCTGCCCCAAATGGGGTTTTCTTGTCAGACCCTGACACTCTGCTCTGGAGAAGCTGATTCTCCCAGCAGCTTGAATGGTACTGGCTGCTGCTTCAATTGAACTCTCTGGGAGGCCATAGACTCCCTAGCAACGTAACCTGTTCTTGAACTGAAGATTTCCTGTGTCTGATTTATTTTATCAGCTAGTATTAAAGAAGATAGCAACATTTTCAAACCTAAGTAGTAAAGCCACAGGTATTTTAGATAACATACATACTTATTTTAACAGCTTTCATTTAAAATGCATTAGAACCTTGCCAACTTGCCCCCCTTGTAAAAAAGGCAGATCTGAACTGAAAAGAGATTTTTAGTTTGCCTTTCAGGGGAGGATGGATCAGGCAAAGGTTTGCTGCTGTGCCTGGGCAGGGCCAGTGGGGCTCACAGGTGAGTGAGGCCCATGGAAGCCAGGAAGGCTTGAAAATTCCACTGTGGCCATAAGAAAAATGATAATCCTTGCCCACTGTTACAGGAAGTTTCTCCTTAGGAAATCCTTGTGGCTAACTGCTCCTGTCAAGTGGACTATGTGTAAATCTCACCTGACAGAAAATACATCACAGCAGCAGCACATAACAAAAGCCAACTAAACTGGGAGGAAAAAAGACAGCCTAGCATGGCCTGTAATTCTTAGCAGCTGCACATGGGAAACTGCATTTTTATGGAAAATTAGCCAAGCTGGTAAGTATAGTTCAAAAATATATCTAAAAGGTGATTAGGTATTTCTTTGGGTTGGGGGATTTTGAAAAGTATATTATCTGAAACAGGAGTACTTTTATTTATTAATGTTTTCCGCAGACCTACTCATTTAAGCATTTTTTATCTTCCTTATCTTTGGGCCAGAATGCATCTTATAAGCTTTTGTGCTCCAATTTTCCTTCTGCCCTTCCTGCCCCCAGACATTTCAGGCAATAAACATAATTTTTATAATATGGTCTGCCACTGAGAATTTCAGGAGGACTCTGCTCACCCCCAATCAAGGTTCTAATTCATACAAAATTAAAATAACACAAATAAAACCCCCACTATTGACAGAATTTTTAAACAACAGTATGTAATGGCTGTAAAATAGCATATCAAAAAATGCGTAAGGACAAAGTCTATACACTTAGAGATCAATAAAGGTAAAAAACCCCAAACCACCACACTACCCCATTATCATTATAGAAGAATTGTCTGAGACGCAACCTCTCTACCTTTATCAATAACAAGCCCCCCGCACCCCAAAAATGATAGATGCCCCAAAATGACCCAATGGTCAACAAGCTCTGTGGGGGGAAAAAAGGAAGGACACACATTCCAACATCAAGCACCCACTTTTGGGGGGGGGGGGGGGGGGGGGCATGTGTTTTATTTTTATCACAAGAACATTCAGAAAGCTACATTTCCCAACCAGAGGATCACAAAAGAAATGGGTTTGTATTTTTGACAATACTACAAATAATTTCTGAAGTGCATCAGCTGTTTTAGTCACCTGACATGGAAAATTTGAGCTCTAACAATCAATTTTTGGGGAAGCAAGTGATAAAAGGGTCAATTCATGGGGAGCACCAATCTATAAAAGTAGTTATTAAAGCTGATGCTAACCAGTAAGCCTCGTCAGCAATACCCATTCTGCTCTTCTTAAACCATGATGACTAAAGAGAGTTTTCTCTTACGAAAGAAAAAGTTTGGGAAAGTCTCTAAACTCTGCACTGACTTTTTAGCATTTATTTTCACTTCTCCTCCGTCCCCTAAACTACAGCTCCCTTTTTCTGTCCTTATTCCTCTTTTCTCTGATTATACCTCTTCTGAGTTCTCTGCCTCTGAGGATGAGGTTTTTAAGACACAGAGAATACCTTACTGGAATCACAAATTTCTCTGTGCAGTTATGTATTTAACATGAAGTTTCTGAAGGAAAAATGAAATAACACAGTACCAAAAACTATAAATCTTAGTGATAGATGTTAATTTGTGAATGACAAAGCAAAATATTTATTTTATAATCATGACTGTCCAGACAATTTCTACTTATAGACTACATTCATTTATATGAATCTGCTACTGAGGATCCACCTGTCACATAAATGAAGGAAAGAACCAAAAATCAAACAGTGCCTTCAGTTTGGAAGTCCTGAGCAACTAATCAGAGTCTTAGCAAGATAGAAGAAATCTTACCCCCGTGAACACTGTGGAAAACTATCACTTTTAGTCTGATTTATCTTTCACATGATGTATTGAGCAGCACAGAAAGAATCCTGTAAGTTTCATTTGACCTAAGGAATGAGCAGACCACAAAATGCAGCCATCTGCTTACATGCTATGGGATTTTTTCTTCTTAATTCCAACTATTTCTAGTGTTTATTAAAGTTGTTCCCTGGAGAGGCACTTAGAGGCTTGCTAACGAAGCCTGAAGTATATTAAAGTAAATTGTGTTTGCTTTTAGTCTGGTCAATTTTTTTGCATATAAGACCTATAAAAGTAAGTATATCCTTGGTCCCTTGCTTTCTTATGAGAAACCTTGTAGGTACCATAGGGTTGCTCTTCCATAGCAAAAAACGATTGACAGTTGTATGCATAGAAATGGGAGGAAAACTGTT